TGACTACAGGCCGGTGTTACCATGGCAACCAGAGCAGGCTGAGGCGTCGCTATCAGATTAAAGCTGTCAGCGTCTTCTTCTTCTTCTTCCTGCTAGATGTGTCTGATCCCACTTCCTGTGTGTTGCTATGGCGATCCAAACAGCACGTGAGCGTCTCAGTGTGCTTGTTTCTCCTTCCTGGTTCAGCTTCCTGTTATTTCTTAGTTCTGATGATTTAGTGAAGTTTTCACATTCGAGGAGGAAAACTGACTCTGAGGAAACGTTTGTTGTTTCCTCCTGTGGGAGCAGTGATGGAAGAAGTACTCACAGCTTTTACTGCAGTAAGAGTACTAATACCACAGTGTACAAATACTCTGCTGCAAGTAAAAGGACTCATTCTGCAGAATAAAATCTATTGTAGGATTCTGATTATTGCTGCGTTCATGTGTTCATCAGGTTCATGTTGCAGCTGGTAAAGGTGCAGCTCATTTTAATGACTTCATCTCCTGCTGGCTGCTTTAACCTGTAATAATACATCATCATTTATTAGCTGCTGATATTTTGTATCTGTAAAGTAACTGGTAACTCCAGCGCTCAGATAAATGGACTGCAGTAGAAGCAGGAAGTAAAGTAGAATCAGCTGAAAGTGGACTTTAATCCAGAACTTGAACATAATGAGCAGCTGGTTGGTTTGAAATCTGCAGACGTTCATATAATGTCCATCCCTGTTAAAGCTGAAGGGAAATAAAAGTCCTGTCTAATAAAAGCTGGAAGAAAAACAATCTTCTGGACTAAATAGAAAACAGGAGGAAATCTCTGGATCTCTGGCTGGAAGAGACGTTTCTGTTTGTGCTGGAAGCTCGCTGATTAAATCTGAGGGCGTATTAATCACAATCAGCTTTACTGACGTGTTCGCAGACGAGGAGTTTGACCTTTTGCTGCCGTCAGTGCGCTGCAAAAACTCAAAATCTCTATTTTTCTCATTTCTGGTCAAAATCTGTCATCACACTCACACTAAAGAGCAAGTGAGATAAAGGAGCTTGTTTTTAGACAGCGCATCTTAAATATCTTGAAACCATCTTGTTTTGAGTCATATCTCAGATGAAACAAGCTTTTTTGACATGTCAGAAGGTTTTTAAGCTGCTGTGTTATTTGTAAAAGATGAATCATCTTGTTTGAAGAAATAGACTTACCAAATGTGCTTTATTGAAAACTGCAGGTCAACATGCCCAACTCACATGCAGAGTACTATTTCTATTATAGTGGCTATTTGTCCTCTCACCATGTGCAGTGACAACCTGGACACCGTCACACAGCTCAGTTAAGTCACGGTTAATCCTCTCAAATATCTCAGCGGTACCACAATGGGAAAGATCTTTTGATTTTACCATGGCAAGCAGACAAAGACTCCCTCTGCGTGTCTGTGGCCTCTTATCAATCATTGCACTTATTCTTGGATGTGCCAGCAGCTGCTCCAAACTGTTCACCGACGGTATATAATGAAAATAACGGTCCTTAATGGTAAGAACTCTGGAGTTTTCCACATAACATACTGTTTGTTTTGCCACAACAATCTCTGGTTCAACTGGTTCTAGCAGTTCTTTGATGGTCTTATTCTGCAAATGGGTGGAAGCAGTTTGACAGAAAGGCTCAACAGACTGGTCAAATATCCCCATCGCATCAGTCTTTAGTTGATCCAGGTCCCCAGAATGTCTCTCAATCATGTCGCTCATTTGCTGTTTGAGGTGCTCCGATCATGCGGCCTGATGTTGCTGGACTCCACTCAGCATTTGGTTAACAGCTCTCTGGGGAGTAGAAAACAAAGAAACATTATAAAATTCATATAAAAATGCAGTCAACATGCAAACTCACAGACACTTACTTTAAAAAGTAACCCTTCAGTTCCATATTGTTAGTGACATGCAATGATCAAAACTACCATGAAATAATAAGACCTTGTTTACACTTGGTCTTAAAATGCGTTTTGAGCAATAGGATCACAAGTGGACAGTGCTAAATAAAAGTGTAAGTGCTGGGTGTATTATGTGGTCTCTGTTCTTCAACAGATATAGTGGATGGCCAGATTTTGTTTCCATCTGCATATCTAGCGGGGAAGTGAGATCCGATCACAAGTGGTCCCTGAAGAAGCTCGTGGAGACGCACTCTAATGTCAGGTGTTTCTCTGACTTACCTTTAGCTGCCCCCCTGAGCTCGGATCAACCAAGATGCCAGGTCTGAACAGTGGCTAAGTCATTCTACAGTTTAAGCTTATTGCTTTTAAGCTTGCTGATAAAAATGAAATATAATTCAAAGGAAAATCAACGGCGTAAATGAGCTGTGTCAGTCGACGGCTTTCTCTGGCTTGAAGAAGAAATGCAGTTGCCTGTTTAGAAAGGTCAACATTCATGCGACCCTCTGCTTCGTGAAATCCACTCTGAAAGAGATTATAACAAACATATCTATTAAAACAGGGGAAATATCGGCGTTTGTAGGTAGCACCAGCAGACAAGCTGACAACTACCTGGCTAAGCTAGCTAGCTAGATTTCTTCCTATAAAATATATATATGGAATTAATGGTAGGTAGATCTCTACATTTAGTCCTTATTTCGTTTGGTTACATATTTTAAACTCATTGTAGTTTTTCTGTGTAAATATTTGTAAACTTTGTGTAAATCTGTATTTTAATTGTTTTTCAACTTGTGGTTGAAACATTGTGTTTATTTGTGTTGTACAGGACTCCCTTGTAAAAGAGACTCAATGGGACATTTCCTGTTTAAATAAAGGTTTATATATAAAAAGGTACAAGATGGGTGTATTTTTACTGATTGATGTCTTTACTTTGAGGATGTAAAATAACAACAAAAACAACAACTAATAAAAAGAAACAGTACTACAAAAATGGCCAATAAATGAACATTACTAAAGGCCTTTGAACTGAACTTGTCCTCCAATAAGCTATAAGGAGACAACTTCCTGTCACACACTGTCATGAAGACATGTCTCACCTGCCAGGTACAGCTTCGTGATGATAAGCTAATAATCCACATATTACAGCCTCTATGCTTGATTCAACCTGTTGAAGGATAACCTGTCAGTTTTCATTGGTTGTTTACAACATTATTTCTTTCAATGAAGTCTGGTAACTGAATTACATAACTAACAAACAAAAGTAATAATCAAATAACGTTAAGTGAATTAATTGAGCAGTTACTGCATATAAAATGAAGCATTAGACATCAGATCAGAAGCGGAACCATTAACCAGCCGATTTAAATCTCAGCAGGCTAAGTTACTTGTATTTGTGTTACTGGCTCCATTACTCGTTACTGACAAAAGTAGTGGAATTACAGTAACGCATTACTTTCAACACTGATTATTTTCTCTTAAAATTACAACCTGAGCTGTCATTTTAACGGAAACGGTGTATTTTGCTAAAGGATAGAGCAGAATATGAAACGATAGACTTTTTATTTCGTCCACATGGCACAGCCCTAGTTGTAAACAAATGCCTTTCATCTGATGTGTGCCAAATCAAGAATGAAATCAATGTGCAGCAGTTTGTAGCCTACAAATAGAGAGTCTGTAGGCTTACTATCCGTGTTGTAGCCATTACAGAAGCACATTCACTTTCAGATTTGTTAATATTATAATGTTATTTTTTTCCATCTATGTTGATTATGAAAAGTGAGCAGCATGAGTAAGACAGGATGCGCGATATATCGGGAGACATGGAGTGGCTCCGACATGATTAAACCACTTCATTACGTTCTGTTTTGTAGAAAAGCCTTTCTTTAAAGTCAATTTCGTTTTGATAAATTGTATCTTAATTTTAATCAATTTTTCATCAACCACTTGCCTTGATTTAATAAATAAGAAGCAAATATAGCAGACAATATAATCACGAGGCACATCTCATCAGAAATTACCGGAAACTCAGCATCTGCCTCGCAGACATCAGAAATATATCTCGGCTATAGAAAGCTTGAAATGTCTTTAAAGGAAAAGAAATAGGCTGTCTCTGATTATGGAATCCATTCTGTGCAACTTTGCAGCCACACTGACCCAAAAAACACTAGTTTATTAATAAAAATATACACGCGTGTCACCGGATTTACAAATGCACATCTTGCTTGTTGCAGGCACACATATTATGTCCAAATAACGATATATTATGTTGGAATAACATTAGAAATAATCTAAAATAAATCTTTAAGAATATTTGATTGAATGCTGAATGTTGTGCTTGTTCAGTTTGATAAAATTAATACTTTAATTGTGATCATTAAAATAACTGAATCTTAATATTGAGTGGCTAATTCTATATAATTGCGCAGCTCCCCCTGTCCGTGATGTGGCCCCCCCTCAGCACCTGTGGTAAAAACATTTCTGCTCGGGTTTAAATCGGGCTCGGGCTCATAATTACAGTTAATGTGTCGGGCCGGGCTCGGGCACGGGCTCGGGTAGGGTCGGGCTTGATGTTTTTGGGCCCGATCTAAGCTCTAGTAACGTCTATATGATGAGCTATCTCCATTTCTATACTAGCTACCTAATCTGAATGTGTCAACTTCTAATAGTCTCGTGTTTTCATAGCTGCAAACATCCCAGAGACAACGATGAAAAGCGGTCCGGCGCGCCTGTCATGGTGCGTCGGAGGAGCTCAGTTTCTCAGTGAAGTGGCCTAAACTAAGCACCTGTTGAAGTTGGCAGCAGCTCGTTGAGCTGACAGCACAGTGTTCTTGGAACAGGCGTGGTGGTCCACATGTGTGTTCACTTCACTTTAGATTAACTGATGGTGATCAGTTAGTGGATGGAAGCGATTTCAGCCCTAAAATGGAACATTGCTGATTTACAGGTGTGCAGAGCTGTCGATGCTACGTCGCATTTTGTGTCGTCACGAAAAAGAAAAACGTTGCTTTTTGCAGTAGTTCATTATCTTTTCTTTTCCAGGACACAGTTCCTCCTTTAATGCATCACCCGTGCGACAGACATCCACTCCTGTGAACGCAAGTCCTGTAAAGTACACAACCCCTGAAAAGGTTGGGAAGTTCTCCTTTCCCGAATATGTACCGCACACCGACACAGAACTTGACAACAGTACTTTGAGTTGTGGAAGAGAGGCCAACGGGCAACTGGCAGATGTCAAAGGAGCTCAGATGGCGGCTCGTTCCAAACACCGTGAGCAGTATGACTGCAATCCTGAGGGCAAAGGGGGAGAAAGAATCACACAGATCCCCATCAAAGCCAGAAATGACAGCAACGGCAAAGAGAATAGTGCTGCAGGACCAAGGCCTCCATACATGGGTCAGTGAAATGCACCCAGCTGATGACTGTTTGATGTTGGACATTTTTAGGAGCCCTTTGATTGATGAAAAGTGATTAAATGTCCTGTGCAGGTCACTGCCTACTCACAGCTATACAAACGATTGCAAAATGTGAGCTCCCCCCAAAAAGAGCTGCAGATGGGAGACATTCAAAGAGGTGAGCTGTAACTAATGATTCTTTTCTGCTGATCACTTGTCTGGTCAATATAAAGTCCGAGGTGATGTCCTCAAAAGTCTCGTTTGGTCCACAACCTAAAGATGTTCATTTCCCCGTCATGGAGGACTGAAGAAGCTAGAAAATATTCACATCTGAGAAGCCGAAATCATATTTGGACATTCAAAAAAACCAAAGAGAGAAACAGAGAAATGACTCCAAATGATCCATCATGTGGTTGTCCTGGGTGATCTGTCTCTAGTGTTCCCTCACTTCCCTTTTTAATGAGCGCTCTTATTTTAGTGTTTGACTACAAACTACTTGCTTTGGATGTGTGTGGGGGGGGCATTGCTTTTTATTAGGACGCACTTTGTGTCACATTTTGTTTGTATGAAAAGTGCTATACAAATAAAGTCAGACGGACTGATTGATTTAGCAGCTAATGGATTAATGTCGAACAGTATTACTTTTGTGGAGCTGACAATGAGGTAAATACACTTGAGATGATGGCAGGATGGTAAATTATGCCTTATTATGGCAAAAGAGCACTGCCTAATACGAGTCAGGAATGCTAACTTCAAGACATTTTGTCTCAAAATGCCAGTTTCTAATCTTATTTCAAGTAGGTGGTGGACTTAAATCTAGAACAGTGTAACTAAAAATGAGTTAAATACACTTGAAACAAACAGGATGGCAAAAAAGATGCTACTTTTGAGGGGGAAATACTATTTTTGAGCATCACAAGCTTATTATGAGACACATAACATCACAATACTAGTAAAATATAGCTAAAAATGAGTTTTCACAGCTAATTTAAGATAGCTGTGAAAACTCATTCACAGATAAGATCACTCTTATCTTGTAAGGCTTAAATATAATGTCTGATTTCAAGAACTCTTACCAAGATTTTCACTTGTTCCATTGGCAGATTGTTTTTATTGTGTTTTGGTAGCACATCACAAGTGAGAAAAACCCCATAATAACTTATGAGGTGCTGCAGGATGTAACTGTGTGTAGTCAGCTCTGTTTCCAGCACTGTACCTGCAGGTGCTCAGTATTTTCAGTTTAATACAGACTGCAAACCAGAATGAGAGCACAGAATCACACAGCTGTGTTTAACATCAGAACATTTCATCCAGTTCCTCTGATTAGAAATGACTGAATATTGTTTGGGCTGTGTCTCTGTGGGTTCTGTGCTGTTGTCCTGCTGCTGTTTTCAGCCCATAAACAGCAGCAGCACTACAGAAGAGCCATCTAGTGGCTGTTGTCAAAAAAGCACCAGAGTTTCGTCTCTTTGCTTCTTTTCTCTTTGATCTGCACTGAATTTGAGTTGTGAAGTGTGAACGCAGAATAAAAGGCAGATTTATTTTGTCACAATATAACAGGTTATAGAGTGAAACTGAGTTTGTAACTCCCTTCTGCTGCATGGCAGACAGTAAACATTAATATAAATATATTAATAATAATAATAATGTAGAAAAGAGTGGAATATGGACACAGAGGAAGGGTCACACAGGGTGAACTCATATCCTGCAGAAATGTTGCTGATATCAGGTAAGAAAACATTTTCCCTGTAAGTTTCTGTAACAACATCATGTAAAACGTACAGTTAGTTAAGTTAGAGTGTTTAAAACAGTTCATAGTGGATTAAATAATGCTACAGGCTGATAAATAAATATGTGTCTTTGTGTTAACAAACTTCATCTAAATAGTTTGTTTACATGTAGCCGTTAGCTCACAAGCTAACCCCAGAGGGCAGACCGCTGTCCATCTTAACATTTAGCTCATTTCATTGGTCGTTACCGACACTGTCAGCCAATCAGAAAGGTAGAGGGGCGGGATGTAAGGAAACCCCGTAGAGTGAGGTCACAGGATAGCGTGAGGCAGCTAACAGAGCAGCTACACGTTAGCTGTAAAAGCTGCCTGAGAGGAACTTAATTCTGCCCATTAAGAGTTTAATCCAGCGGCTAACGGACATGTTGGAACCTGCAGAAGGTAAAAACCTCTGTGTGTGTTTCTGCTTCACTTTCTAGTGTCCTGCTAGCACTTCCTCTCTGGATACAACCGGAGCCTGATGCTAACCGCGATCAGCGCGCTAATGCTATCAGCATGTATTTCAGTGCAGCAGCAGCTAACACTGCTGTGTTGCTAATATGTGTTAATGTTGTCAGCTAGTTTCCTCACAGCTCAGGGATTTGTGAGGAATAACTAAGTTAACCACAAATACTATGGTTTTATTTGAATGTTGTGTGTGGAAATGTTAAACCTTAATGTGTAAATTCTGCTGTGGGTAGATAAAACATTGTGTTTTCTGATAAGGCTACTCTAATTAGAGTATTGCATTGCAGCTACAGTTATGTGGAGCCTGTACGGCCGACAGGTTTCCTAATACAGGGAGAAGAGTAGCTTGATGTAATTTCTGTTGAGTTAGTATCAGCTGTTATTGAATAAGGTTGAACATGTTATATGCTGGTTACTGTAGATATTGAGCTGAGATTTGAAGTTGAACTGAAGTGTGATAAATAGGCCTGAACATGTGATCATTGAGTATTATGCAGCATGCGATGCTTAAATGTTACATGGTTGTTTTGCTTTAGTGTGATTGTTGTACAACATCTAGATATATAGAACACTGTTTTAAAGTCCTGTTTGCAAAAACAGCTCAGGTCTTCTGGACAGAGCGAGAACTACTTGGAAGATCCCTTTTCTATGGACGGCGAGCCTCCCAGCGTGATCTTGAAGAGACGCAGACCAACTCATCGAACACTCCCCCTGCTGGTAGGAAAGTATCAGTCGCCTGAGCTGGTACACACACTTCATCCAAAAGTGCCAACTTTCCTCTTAAACAAGGAAACTGTCACAGAACTGGTGACACGCACTTTAACAGAGAACTATTGACAGTGGATTGACTAATACAGGAAGTGATCACAAACAGACTTTAACGACTACAAAAACACTCATTTATTTTAAAGGGCCCATTTTTTAGTTTTCATGTATGTTGTGTAATTGTGTTTCAACTGTTACTTGCAAAGTAATGTGAGTAAAAGTTACTGGTTGCAACTTACCTGGCCTGATGCTTCCTTTTATGGGTACAGTTTATATCACTTAGCTCCTTCCGAACCAAGCGCAGTGTTAGCTCACGTTTAGAGGGTAGCACGGTTACATATTGTTTTAGAATCAACATGTACTTTATTTGGATTATTTCCAACTGAACTTTAATTGAAATGGCGAGAATCTCGCTGATATTTGAGATTAAATTTACGTAAAGTTTGAGTCAAATATGTAAAACTTGTTTCTGTAACTCCGCCCACTTCCTGTGTGTCAGACTCCTCCTGCTGCAGTGACATCACGTGTCACATGATGCCACTCTACAGCTGCGACGTACTACACACGTGCGGTCTGAACCTGGCGGCCCGTTAGTTTGATTTCCACCGCCTGCCGGGGGGGCGGGTCTTCTGTCCATGGAGGATACCGCTGCAGCCAATCACAGAGCAGAACGTCCAGGAGAGGCGAGCAGGGGGCGGGGCCAAAGACAGCAGTAATTAATATTTAATTCTTATTAATAAGAGTGATTCCAAAGTTTGACAAAGTGTTTAGTTTGTCCTTAAAACAGCAGATTTCTGAATGGAGTTCTGTGGCTGATTTCTGAGTTTGGTGACTTAATTTTGAGGCATTTTCTTTGAGTTCCTGACTTTTTCTCTTAACCCGTTTAATCCCAAATTACTAACAATTTGAGTACATGTATTTTACTCCTTAGACCTTCCTAACACACACAAAGTATGGCCTTTTTGATTTTATGTTGGTGAAGTTAGTGAAATATTAGGTTTTACACTCGGTCATAATAGTGAGCGGTGGAAACATTCAGCATGTCAGAGCAGACAGAAACTGTGCCTTAGAACAGCGGTTCTCAAAGTGGGGTCCGGGGACCCCCAGGGGTCCTTATGGTGGTTCCAGGGGGTCCTCAGCAAAAAGGGGAATAGTTTTCATCCATAAGTAACACAATTACTGTTTGGGTCATGGCTTTCATACACTTTCTGTAATAAAACATCTACCAATCTAAATAAAACATCTCCCACCAAAGACGTGCGTCTTAGCCACGGCTCCGTCACCACCCCTCTATTGACTTCTCAAACCAATTGGTTCTCATGAACATCTGCCTCCTCCTCCAGATATTTTACCTGTAGATTGCCGTTCAATAGTCTGCCTATCTCAGCCATCACTATCACAGTCACATTCAAATCCTACTCTTTCAAATGTAGGAATGATCGTGATGCTGCTCACAGCGCTTGGGGGGTCTCGTATGTCCAGGAGGTCCAACACATGTGATAGTTTCAAAAAGTGTGAAAATAAACAGATGATAACTAGGATCACAGCCAAAACCTGTGTTTTCAGTTGAAGCACTGTGTTATACTACTGGTCACAACTGTGACCGTTAACAAATTTACACCTCTTATGAGCCAGATATATATGCAGGAGTATGATTCTCAAAACACATCAGTAGTAAACACTTAAAAGAATATATGTACAAAATATGTCAATTCTATCTGTTAATGAAGGTGTTTTAAGCCAACAACACACCTTTTTGAGCTTCAGTAATAAAAAGACGCGGATTAAACGGGTTAATTTAGTGATTATACTCTAAACACTAAGCGCCCTCTGACTAAATCACCAGTGAAACACACAGCGGAGAATAAAGTCCGACTGGCATCAGATCTCGTTCACAAAGCTGCTCATGAAGAAGAAGTATGAATGACGGAGCGGCGGAGAGAGAGGAGACAGAAACTCTCAGCAGTACGGCAGCATTTCAGCCAAAACAAGTTCAGCTCAAACGCTGTAAAGCAGAGCGGACATTTCACGGCAGCACTACGGTGATGCACGAGCATCGTAAACGCACCCCGGAGCTGTGACGTCTAACGTTACTCCTGATGGGTAAGTTTCAGAGACGTTTCCTGCTTTAGCCAACTGGCTATAATGTTAGTATCCTAACGTTTGTTAGTTTACCTGTCGGGAAACAAAGTCTCATGGACGCTGCTGGCTAAGAGAACGCTGCTTCAGCTGTGTTAGCTAACGCGTTAAGTACAATAGTCAGTCAGTGAATTATAGGAGGAGCTACCCTGTCTCGTCTTCTTCTGTTTTTCCCCTCGCGTTGATCCTAGCGTTCATTCTGAAGAGTAAAGCTCCTCCGCTTAACGGGAGCTAGTTAGTCTGTGTGTTGGAGTATATCAGTAATTAAGAGATTTAGTTAGTTAAATGGTTTAATTAGCATAGCCAGGACCCTGTCTGTGATAAACTATGATACATGACCTTCAGCGGGACAAAAAGAACCAACAGATGAGTCGACTACCAAAGTAATCATTAGCTGCAGCCCTATTTCATAATTAGCTTTAACACAATGCAAACTTTCTTTTCTGCAGCTGCTCGTTGTTTCTTCGTCTTCAGGAAGTTGTTGTTCACGTTCCCCGGCTGCTCAGCAGGAGTCACTGTTCTGCAGCAGGTCAGTCACTTTTTACATTCAGACAGAAATTAGATCTTTTAATTCACATTAAAAGTAGAGACAGAATAAGAAACACTAGCAAACTGACAGATGATCCAGAAACTGTCTGTGATATGTTGTTCTTAATGTTTGCTTTCATTTACTTTCTATTATCTTCATGTAAAGTAGATTTATAATCTGTTAAAATCTGAATCTTAATGGACAAAATTATTTAATTCTAAATCAGACATTTCAGAAACAGAAGAAATGAAGTTAATGTTGAAAAGAAATCATTTAAAGTAATAAAGTCATTAAAGTTTTTATTCATTCATTTATTTTCCGCTGTCCCCAGGTGGATGTGGTCGGCGTCGGCGCGTCTCAGAGACAAAGTTGAGGTGAATCCATCCATATAAGCCACGCCCACATGCGTCTGCATCGAGTTTCCACCATTTTGAGATTTGTCCTACAAACTGTGAGCAGTCGTCAGCAGATGTGGGTCAGAACATCTCTGGACTGAGCCGGACAAAGGTCCTTTTTTATGATTTTGCGTACAGGTTTGCTGCAACTGGCCTTTAAAGTCTGCTCAGACGCTGTGGGCGGGGCTTCTGATACCAAAGCCGTCAGTTCTCCTGAACGCTTTGTGCTGCCGCAGCCACATTTGGTGGACGTGTAGACATGATGTCTGACTGAGCGTGACGAGTTGGTGTCATCTGGCCAGTAGGTGGCGCTGAGGTTCATAACTTTATATTTTCATTGAACTGGAACTTTGTACTGAGCGCTGATTTTGTACTTTTGGCCGAATCGATTGCTCGTCTTTGTTCCCTGTTGTACAAACCTGTTCTACTTGTTAGAAAGGCTGTTATTGTGCATTAAAACTAACATGATTAGCCCTGATTGACTGGCGGGCGGCCAATGAGTAATGAGGATTGATTGTGAGTGCTTGTATCATTGGCTGTATATCTGGGGTTGGCTTGGAGCCAGATTTGGGCAGTCTCCATCCATGATGATTAATATCTGATTGAAGTCAGTGTGTCACTCCTTGTTGATGTGGGACTTTGTTCCCACTTCTGGCCTGGCCATAAATACCAAACAGGCCAAAGAGAAGTGGAACGAGCTGAAAGACAAGTCCAAGGTGACCTGCCTGTGTCTCTGCTTTGTATTATATAGCCAGTGGCTTCCTGAGAGGCAGTGGCCAGAGGAGAGGAGAGGGAAAGGGCAGCCACAGCTCCAGCAGAGAGAGACCACTTATCTTACCATCACATAGTTGAGGCCCCTGGCATCACAGAGGCCCTGCAGCAGCACTAAGGGGAAAGGCTTTCTGTTCTCACAGCATTTCTTCTGTGGCTCTGCAGGAAGAAGAATCCTCAGGGATGCAAACTCGTCACCTTTCCGGTGAGATTCGCCTCTCAAGAGATTTCAGAGCCAGAAGTGTCCTTGGCCAGAAACAAAGGATGTCACCGGGAGTCCCTCGCATCCTTTCCATGATGCTGTCAGACACCTGGTATAACAGTCTGAGCCTGTCCGCGCCAAAAGGAAGCACTTTCTGTGGACGCCATTTTGAAGGGCGAAAAAGGGATCCAGGGCAGGAAGTGAAAGGCAGAATGGAGGAGATGGAGGAAAGCCCGTACTGTGCTGGTTATTGTTTCCTCATTCTGTCGCCCAGTTCATTCTGAAATTATGGCTGAAAACCTCTTTGGAGGTCACTTTGACCTTTGACCTTTGAGAAAGTGTCACCTACTCAGTGTGAAAAGCAAAGAGAAATTCTGCTGAAATAAGCGACTTCCTTAATTACTAAATGATTCAACGTGATTATGAAAGAAGATAAAACCTGAATAAAAAATGAAGGAAATTCCTTCAAAGCTAAATTATTCTGAAATACACCAAATGAATTCCAAAAAGGTGTTTTTGCTCCCATTTGTATAATCGTGCTGGTTTTTAGTCAGATCTGAGCTAAATGTGCTCCTGCTGCCAAACCATCGAAGGAACAAATGTTTTCAAGGTCCTGGAGGAGGAAATCTTTCTCTCTACAGAAAATGAGCCATGTCGACCACAAGGGGGCGCTAAAGGAAAGTCAGAAAGTTCATGTCTGTCTAACCAGATGAAGCTGGAGTCAGAACAGCCTCTGATTTTTAACATTGGACTTTGTCTGCTCGCTACACAAATCTGATCTCTGTGTTTCTGTATTTCATTCCAAACTGCACCAAATTAGCGTCAGCGGCCCTCGATGCCTCCAGATCTACAGATCCAGCAGCAGGAGGCTCTGGGACACGTTTCTTCTCTGATCTCAGGATTCACTTGTTCACGTGTCACCAGATGTGATTTGCACATCGAGTGTTGTGAAACCAAATTCAGAGGATCTGTGCCGACGCTTCACTTTTATTTGAATTTAATATAGAACAGGACTCGGCCGACATTGTTCCAGAAGGACTTCCAGATCGGCCTGGGTCGGCGCGGCTTTGCTTCTGAATTGTGCCGGGTGTTTGGACCCGATACTTAGTTTTAAAATGAAACTATATATTTGTGAGGACTTTTTAAAGAGTGGCGTCTTCAGAAGGAACCAATGGGCTTTGTAGCGACAAGCGGCCCTTCTGCAAGGAAACCCCGCTCTCTCGGGTCACCAACTCCGGGCGCCCTTAGCGCATTATGACTTCAGATAGCACTCAGGAAAAAGGGCGACCTCTGATAACGAGCTAGTTTCAGTACTAGGTACTGGCCTGAGCGTCTGTACTGAATGTCTGACTCCAGATTCAGAAGTTTCCTGGTCAGCCACTTCACTCCTCTCTCACTTTAGGTTGCAGAGAGTAGGGCCCTGAACACATCACCTGGAAGGAGTTCCTTAAAGGAGCAGTTTGCTGCTGATCTGTAATGAGCTGTGTTAATGTCGGCAGTGTGGATGTTAAAGTAGAAGAATACTAACTTACCAGTCCGGAAGAGGAGGAAGAAAATGAAGACAAAAAGAGACGAAAAACTCTTTCTAGTTTCTTCAGGCGTGCACCCAAAGAGAAACTGATTTATTTTCAACAAATGCAAAAACAGAAGCCCCCAAAAGTTCCCCCTTTTTCTCCTCTTTCGCCCCTTCTTCTTTATTTTACCTAATTCTTCTTGAGCTCTGGGGTCAGCAACTGAAATAATAATGGGCAGGAAGGACCTCAGCCCTTTTCCAAACGTTCATTGGCTGCTATAAGTTAGCCATCACACTGATTGGTTCTTACATTCTGACCTCACATCCTTCCTCTTCTTTATAGGTACCGTACACTTCCTGCCAGTAGTTGCAACACCCCTTTGCTCTCGTCACAAATGAACAAGAAAAATATAAACAAACTGTGATTGTGTAATCTTCTCATTTCCAAAGCATCCAGACAGATACAGCAGGTCTCAGTTTAAAAACAAGACTAAATGAGCATTTCTTCTCTTCTACATCTTAAATGCATCACACAAATGAAAATCACACACAAGAAGCAGAAAAGACATCAATCATGGGTTGTCACCATCTTTTTTAAAGAAAACCTTCCTTCTGTTCTTTAATCTCAAAATGATGTTGCTTTCATTTTCACAGTGGCTGCTGACGTTTAGGCAAATAGTGCCTTCTTTCCTGATTAAAATGATTATCTTGATGTCATCAGGGAATGCATACATGAGACGTCCTTACAGAAGACAAGTCTTAACGTTGACTAAAAATGATAGAAGCGTAAAAAGTAAAACTCTTGACCTTCCCCTCTGCATCACACCTTTTTTCACACCTCCCCTCATGTGCGCTAGATACACAAATGCGTCGTCAGGGACGCTTTAGCTTTTGGTTTAATTTACAGCAAAAGAGTGGACTTAGCTTCCCTGTACTGGAAACTAGCGTTATTTTGAGACTTGAGACATGTCTGTCCGTACCCAGACAAAGGTTTCTAGAGGCAAAGATGAGGTCCGGCACAATAGATGCAGAGATACAGGACTTATTAAAGAAATAAAGACAGCATCTCAAATTAAACATCTTTCTTCAAATGTTCTACTTTTGTAATATGAGCTCAGCAGTTAACCATTATCACTCTGAAAGCAAATCATGTTACTATATGGCTTGTAAATGTGTCAGGCAGTCAAACTGTGTCTGTGAAGGCCCCCCAAGAACCAGAACCAGAGGCTTATCCATCACTAGAAAAGAGTAAAATCCTGGACTGAGCTGATGGTGGGTTGTGAGGCAGCTGAGATGAGCTCCTTGGAGGTCCTACTCTGCTCCCTGAGCTCCTTCCTCTTCAGTCGGCCCTCCTTCAGCTGCAGAAACACCCGGGTTATAATAATCCAGCTCGATGTCCTCCTGCCTGCCCGGCTTCTGCCCCCTGCTGGCCTGGAGAGACATGACAGCACACACATGTGAGTTAGTGCATCACTCCTCCTCTTCTTCAGGTCAGTAAACACAGAGCGAGTGCTTCATCTCAGGCCTCTAAACAACAGACGTGTGTCAGTACCTTACGGTAGAAACAAAGGGCAGCGATCACCAACAGCAGAGTCAGCGGCAGGACGACCACTTTGATGAGAAGACCTGTTGGATCTGATCAAACGCATGGACAGACATCACATCACACACCATCATGAGTCCATCAGCTCCCATTAAACACAAACTGTAGAGACCTGAAATCTCCCAAAACCACTTCAGTCCATCAGGAATCTCTATCAACACATATCTGAACGCAGAATCTGGAGAAACAAGCAGAGCCGTCGCAACCAGAGAAGAAGTTCAACTGCCTAAAGCCTCCAGCTGAAAGGGGGTCCTCGAGAAGGGCTGATTATGTAGGCCTACTTAATCCACAGCAATGACACTGTATTAGCACCTTTTAAATACTATGATCAGTCGTAAGCCGGAATTCCCCTAACGAGGCCCCGCCCACTAGTTTGCAGCGTAGAAACCTCATGTGGGCAGTGCCCACCTGTAAAGAGCTTTGTGGTGGCAGAGCGAAGAATCTGGGGGCAAGAAACAAGCAGAGGGGAAAAGAAGTTCAACTGCCGAAACAGTTTATAGTTGTTTTACACTAAACAAATATAATTTATTGTGCTTAAACGCAACACAAATCCAGCTGTTGCCCTTACAGCCAATGAGAAGGTGGAACAGCGTTGTCATGGCTACCAGCTACAGGTGTGCTGGAAGCTGCAGTGATGTTGACAGGTACGCGTCCTGCGTCTCCGAGTCATTAAAATATATTTATAATAATATATTTAAAATGTTCAGTTCTAATCCTGAATTTATTCTAGTTAACGTAACGTTAATCGTGATTATTTGAGGGTTCATGTGTTTATCGTTGTTGTTGGACAGAAGTAGGAGAACATGGTCTGGAAGCTGAATAAGCAGCGACATCAAGTCTGTCATCAGAAACTAATCAGTAGATCTCTGCAGCCTTTGTAATGAAGTTCGACTCTGTTTATGTAGCTGTCATGATAAAGAGTGAAATCAATAAGAAGATCTGTGAAGGTGACGTTTCAGCTGCTCTGCTTCAGCTTACCTGAGACAGTGAGAGACAGCCGACGGCTCTCAGAGGAGAAGTCATGAGAAAAAACATGGACGTGATAAACACAGCTGTAGCTTCCTTGGTGGGCGGGCTCTGCGGCAGGAAACAGGAAGTGGGCAGAGTGATTGACAGCTGGCAGGATGTAGTTGGGTGATGTGATGGAGGAGGTGAAGGCGAGCTGGAAGGAGCCTCCTGGGTACTGTGGCTGGATGGAGCAGCTGATGGTGAAGGTGGAGCCCCTGGACACCTGAAAGCCCTGCTGCTGGGCCTCGGAGACCCCGTCCACGGAGGAGGACGCAGAGATGTTGGGCTGAAGCAGCAGGTCTGTAAACACACAGATGATGAAAGGTCACATTCACCCTCCGTTCAACAAAATGGCCCCTGAAGAAGGAAGTGATGTCACAGGTCTGTCACGGGTAACAAACATGGAGCAGAGCGATGACAGACTGTAAAAGGAGGGACTGGATCCACCTGGTGGGACGTCCCCAAACACAGAGACAGACAGACAGACAGGTTCCTCCAGGTGTGTCCTGTCAGGTGAAGCTTCCAGAAACAAGCCCACCTCTCTACACTTTAGGACGTCACTGTCCTGGAGAACTTTACAGTTCAGTCCAATGGAAACCACTGAGACACTGAGACAGAGGAGAGGACACACTGGAGACATTACTGTCATACATGATGTCATAGATGATGTCACTGATGGGCTTACCTGAGCAGGTGAGATCCAGGATGGAGGAAGAGGAAGTTGATGATGCACACTCCCTCAGAGCAGATCCAGACTGAACACAGTCAGACCAGATCCACCACACAGGTCTGTCTGAGGACTCGTTTCTCTCTCCTACAGAAACAGCAAAGCCACAGTCCAGCTCTCTACAGACAACAGCTGCTGTCTTCAGGGTCCAGACAGAGTACCTCACTGGTCTCCAGTCCCCCTGTTTCACCTCCAGTGTTCCTGCACAGCGACTGGCTCCTCCCACCAACCTGACATCATCAGGCTCTGAACAGAAACCAGAGAGTCATCAGTAAAACAATAAAGTGAGTTTCATCAGAAGAGAAATGAAGCAAATCAAAGCTGCAGCTCCTCTTCTACCTGAGCAGGTGAGTCCAACAGCTTTTCCAGGTGAGCAGGTGTTTCTAGCTGAGCCTGAGCTTCTACAGTCCAGGAGAGCAGACTCATGGCCTCCACACTGGAACTCTTTGGTCCACATCGGAGCCTCCACTTCTCCATAGAGCGCCCCCTGGAGGACTGAAGGAGCCCCACAGCCGAGCTCCCTACAGACCACCTCTGCATCCTGCTGGTCAAAGTCAGCTTCACACACTGAGGACCACCTCTGGTTAGACTGGTTAGACTGGTTAGACTTCACCTCCAGTCTGCCTGAGCACAGACTAGTCCCGTCCAGCAGCCTGACAGAGTCTGGAGAGATAATAGAAGATGAAATAGAGATAAAGACAGCAGACACAAAAGAAAAACATGTCATGAAACAACAATTCAGTGATTCAAGGTGGACTCAGCACAACTCCAACATCAGTTCATCATTAACAACAGAACACATCTTTCTACCAGCACAGACTGCAGCAAGTTCACCAGCACATTTCCATTTAATACTCTGTCACACTTGTTCTCCACGTCTGAACACTTTCAACATGTTTCCAAACAACAGCACAACATCATCATCTGCAGATTTCTCTGCTCTGTTCCTTCTGCTCAGCTACTCCACAATCTTTGCTCTCCACACAAACAAGTTCAACACTTTTCATTCTGTCTTAATGTTCTAAGAAGATCTGGAACCCAGAAGAAAAAGCTGCTTAGAAAATGCTCCAACAACTCTAACAGGGATAGGGGCTGGACTCTCTCCTTTGAAGGAGCTGCCAGGGTGGAGGACGCCACGTGGGTGTGGAGATACTGACGAGCCCCCGGCTGAGCTCAGCTGCTGTAGTCGTAGAAAGTCAGACCAATGTGCGCCGTTTTCCAACAAACCGCAACATTCTGAGTGTTCCCTTGAGAACTAAGCCTATATTTGCATTTGGAACGTCAGCGCGACGACTTTCTTTGGTGTCAGTGAAGGTTAGCAAAGTGTCCACTACTCGCTCCTCTCTCTCCCTTTGACAACGGACCTGTCTGTGATCAGCCCCTCTTCTTCATTCACAATCCAATTCAGAATATGTGCTGGAGGAAGTGACAGTTGTGCCGAAAATTGTTACCCCTCCGCAGGAGCACCGTGTATCTATACATCTACAGCTGCTTTTATCTCAAACAGTCATAATGTGTGAATAAGCATCACTTTATGTCCGTGGTAACAAAGGGATGTCTTTGTGAAAGGTTAATGTTTCTTTTAACTGAATAATCACAGTTGAAATGTTCAGTTTATCAGGCCTGACAAAACGTTATGTCACGGCTGGCAGAGCAATGACACAATCTGCAGGAAAGGTACCATCACCTTTATTTTATACTAACAGAAACAACTTCATATTCAAAAAGTCATATGAGGTTTGATAATCAGTAGATCAGTCATGTCAGCAAGTATGCATGCTTGAAAGAATAGTGAGGAAAGTGTTGAATGGTGAAAGAAACAAAAAATAACAAGGAGCGTGGAGCATAGGGAACAGGGTTTCCCTCCTCTCTAGCCCTCAGTGCAGAACAAAAGACAAGCTCTTATAGTGGAGAACACCGGGCCCAGGTGGCTCCAACAACTGATGATTTTAACCACGCCTCCTGACATCTGCAACACAGGATACAGAGACACAGACATCCCAGCAGCCGAGAGATGGGGACATCACAGTTATTATAAGCAATAAAATTAGCCTGTTGTTGCTGATGAAATTTGGGTTTGGTGGCCTCTGTTTAATGTCCTTATTTATATTTGGAAAACAGACAGCAGTCTTTAATTAACATGATTCAGGCCTGGGTTAGGCTATAAATAAAATCCACCTTTTTAACAGTGGTTGTAGTGTTGTATTGGCCAAAAAGACAGAGTAGCTCAATCAGTCCTTATTATCAGTTGCAATACATTTAAATAGCTATTACAGCCCATAGAGCCTATGCAGTTTAGCACTTGCCAAAAAACTGATTCCACCTCACTACTTGTGACTAAAAGGTTCTCAAAATGACTTGATTTCAGTCATGAGCGTTATATGTGAGTTATGGCTGATCAAAACTCACCCAGTCCTTTTAACCTGTTGAAATAGCTTTAAAGAGCCAATACAGCCAGTAACAGGTAGTTTTCCACTGGCCAAAAAGTGACTGCAGCCTCGACCTGTGACTTAAAAAGAATAAATAGGCAACAAAAGTCTGTCCGGTAAGTGTGGAACTGAGAGATGGTTTTCTGAACATACTAAAGACTGAAACAAACTTCAGAATGTTGCTGTTAGTTGGGCACTGAGCAACCAAAGACCCTGCTGGTGGAAACCAGTGGCTAAGAAAGCCGTCAAGCTGAAGGAGGAGTCCTTTCAGGCTGGTTGGTGGTTGGCCCCGGGGCCTCCTGATTTACTGAGGCAGCAGCTCATCAGACTCCGTCATGGCTGCCAGAGACAGTCTGCTGCCATTCTAGCTGCTGAGTGTGAGTCAACCTGGGTACATTACTGTCAGAGATGATGTCATAGATGAAGTCACTGATGGGCTTACCTGAGCAGGTGAGATCCAGGATGAAGGAAGAGAAATATGATGATACTACACACTCCCTCAGAGCAGATCCAGACTGAACACAGTCAGGGAAGATCCACCACACAGGTCTGTCTGAGGACTCCTTTCTCTCTCCTACAGAAACAGCAGAGCCACAGTCCAGCTCTCTACAGACACAAGCTGCTGTCTTCAGGGTCCAGACGGAGTAACTCACTGGTCTCCAGTCTCCCTGATGTTTCAGCTCCAGTGTTCCTGCACAGCGACTGGCTCCTCCCACCAACCTGACAGGCTCTGAACAGAAACCAGAGAGTCATCAGTAAAACAATAAAGTGAGTTTCATCAGAAGAGAAATGAACCCAATCAAAGCTGCAGCTCCTCTTCTACCTGAGCAGGTGAGTCCAACAGCTTTTCCAGGTGAGCAGGTGTTTCTAGCTGAGCCTGAGCTTCTACAGTCCAGGAGAGCAGACTCATGGCCTCCACACTGGAACTCTTTGGTCCACATCGGAGCCTCCACTTCTCCATAGAGCGCCCCCTGGAGGACTGAAGGAGCCCCACAGCCAAGCTCCCTACAGACCACCTCTGCATCCTGCTGGTCAAAGTCAGCTTCACACACTGAGGACCACCTCTGGTTAGACTGGTTAGACTGGTTAGACTTCACCTCCAGTCTGCCTGAGCACAGACGAGTCCCGTCCAGCAGCCTGACAGAGTCTGGAGAGATAATAGAAGATGGCCTTTCTTCATTTTCTGGTTTAATAAAACAATTTAAAATCTAAAACTGTAACAGAATATAATGCAGAGCAGCTTTCAGCTTTCAGAAATGTTTCTCCTGTAGGTTGTGATGGAAATTTGATATTTTACTCTGTTTCACCCTGCATGCTCCATTATAATATACAAAGGTCTCACTGTATGGTATTTGATATTTTATCATGTTTCAGCTAGGTGAAGCTTCCCATGGGAAAGATGCTCGTTAGAGAAGTTTTCTTATCTGACTGACCTTGATAGGCCTTCGACTCAGGACAGCTGGTCCCTACTCCCTTGCTCTTCTGCTTCCTGAGCAATATAAAGTCACCTGCTCCTTCACTGGCTCTTTGTCTTACACTCTGCAGACTGTTTGGCACTCTGTATGTTTGTCTGACCCTTTGCAAAGAATAAAACCCTTAAAAGACGTCTGGATTGGAATCTTTATTTCAGAAGACTCACTAAAGGACAAATTTCCATTCCAAGATCAACTTTTAATATCATCACTGCTGAATCAACACACACACAGACGTGACTGATTGAGGTAACCTCTTTAAATTTGCCTGTGGCACCTTTTTACTTCATCAATAATAAATTTAATCATTTTAATTCAGTTAGAAGCTCCTGGACTTTAATAGCTCCTGTGTTTCAGCAGTTTTCTGCTCATGTTCAAAGTTCTGCACATTCAGAATCTAACTGGGTTCTCTGACATTTCCAGAATAAAGGATATTTTGAGAGGTCAAACAGGATAAATCATCATAAACTTTGTAATCAATCTGCACCGTGTGGAAGGGATCCATAGCACGGGTTGCACCACTACTATCCATGGTAGTGTGGGGATGTTTTGTTGTGCAGGATCACAGCTCCTGTGTGTCCTCATGAGGAAAGGTCAAGATGGCTATCAGAGTAAAAATGGACTGTCTATTGCATCAGACTAGGCAACTTGATGAGTTTATTTTTTTAAGTAGCCCATTAAAATATTCCTGCAAATGCAGTGAAGAAGTTCAAGTTCTAAAATTTGTGATTTATTTTCATTCATAATTTAGTGGGACAACAGTGTGGATTTGTGCATTTTATATTGAATAAATTTGGAGCTACTCCAAATTCCTCTTTTCCTCTTCCAGAGAAGAGCAGGGGTGTTAAAGATCAACTTTAACAGACTGCTAGGGAGACCCCAACGGAAGGGGGGGTGAAAGTTGCTTTCTCTAAGTGCTATTCCTGACCATAAAACTGGCACCTTTTTGATTCTGAAGCTGATAACGCGGGGCCTGACTGTTAAACTGACAAAAGGCACATGAACCAGCGATTAGCATTTCCCTGAACAGCTTATCAAAACTGCCCACCCACTACACATGTAACCGTGGTGACTGTACTGGGTCTGTGTTTCATTACCCCATCAAAGGGATACTCCTGTCTCACCCAATGTGACACAACCCAGGAAGTCTGTGATCACTGATCATGCCTTGTGCAGACGCACTTATAAATGGACATGTCCATACGATATAGAGACACACACACACACACACACACACACACACACACACACACACACACACACACACACACACACACACACACACACACACACACACACACACACACACACACACACACACACACACACACACACACACACACACACACACACACACACTCTTTTAATGTGCCGTTAATGGAAAGTGAAGGTTTTTTGACCAGCGCTTTACTGTCTAACTGCACACCGCCTGGATGAGCTAATTTCTGTTAATGAAGCAAAATGCAGATTACAGACTGCTGAAGTTCTGAAGGTATAAATGGAAAATGTAGAGAAATTAAAAGTACATTAGATGAACCCACCCCTGCTGCAGACGACATCACTGCTGCCTTCAGCTAGAAGGAACAGCAGCACAAAGAAAAGTCTGTAATATTGAGGCACTTTGCTGCTCCGGCTTCCAGCAACTTCTTTTCTTCTCCCTCAACATTTCCACAGGCTACATTCTGTCCGCGACTGATGTGGACTGTGAGTGATTGACTGGTCTCTTAGTAAACCGCCTCCTATATGAGCCAGCTCCGAAATCGCCTGAGCCAGGAAGGCAATGCAGATAAAACTTTACATTAGGAAAGAGGGGGGGCAAACATAGATTTTGAACCACAAATCCACACAGGTTAATTTCAGCGCCTCTGATAAAGGTGGAGCAGAGAGGACAGACACAGAGCTACAGCTGGATCATCTTATTCTCTGCTAATGTGCAGGACAATAAATAATAATCATCTCTCTCTCTGTCCCGCGCGTGTAACGTTAGTTAAGCGAGTAAAGTTCAATTTTCAGCCTTTGGTTGTTTGTTTTTTAAAAATCGGTCGGCCGCTGCGGCTAACCGACCGAGCTAACCAGCCACGGATACAGTCAGATAGGCTACAGGTAGCATTTAGCAAAAAGTGAAGCTAACTATCAAGTTCTCATGTCCATCAGAAGCTCCCATTTACTTCCAGCTCTGTTATTCATTTTCGTTGGCTGGGCTTTAGTTTAGTAAGACTATTAAAATGTTTCCAAAGAGAAGTACTATTTCCTTGAGATTCCCTGTTGGTCCTGTTCATGCCGTGTTCACTGCGAAGCCTCCAGGACTAAAACACCTTGATCCAGTCTCTGGTAAACACTAACACTCCCCCGGTGCTCCGGGCTCCCAGTACGGGCAGAGCTAACAGGACCAGTGGACAGGACACTAACTAACTCCAGCAACAAGTAAAGTTATCTGTCCATCAGGAAACTCTGGGAATCACAGAGTTGAGGCAGGGGGACATCAGAGAGAAAACTACAATATATTTTAGTCATATTTCTGATATTTCTCCATTAAATATGATCCAGTTTCACCAAAATCAGTGAATAAAGTTGTTTCTGTGCAGTAATCAGTGGGGCCCGGCCCCAGAAACACTCAGCTGCTTCAGCAGCGTCTGGTTGAGAAATCTTTGCATTGGACGCTAAAATAAGAAGTGCAGAATGAGTCATCGACGTTTTAAAATGACAAACTATTAAATATCAACAACACCTACACAACACATTTTTTGTCACTGATGGGTCAGAAACTGCCACAGTGGTGACATAGTGCAAAGCAAATCATATAAAATCATTTAAACATGGACTTTGGGAAAGGAGGATTTTGTTATTGTATGTTTCTCTAAATATCCACGGAGCAGACAACACATCACTGATACTCTCTCTTCTTCATTTGCCAAATAGGCACTGAAGTAATCCCAAAGTAACTCAAAGTAATCAGATTACATTACTTTTATTTTGTGGTACGTTACTGATTACATTTCTAAAGTAACCCTCCCAACACTGCCAGCAGGTCACTGGTGCCTGTTATGGAGGCAACCAAAGACCCTGCTGGGGGAAACCAGTGGCTAAGAAAGCCGTCAAGCTGAAGGAGGAGTCCTTTCAGGCTGGTTGGTGGTTGGCCCCGGGGCCTCCTGAAGCAGCAGACATGTTTCATATACATATATATATCTTGGTGCATTCAGCTCCTGATTTACTGAGGCAGCAGCTCATCAGACTCCGTCATGGCTGCCAGAGACAGTCTGCTGCCATTCTAGCTGCTGAGTGTGAGTCAACCTGGGTACATTACTGTCAGAGATGATGTCATAGATGATGTCACTGATGGTCTTACCTGAGCAGGTGAGATCCAGGATGAAGGAAGAGGAGTCTGATGATGCACACTCCCTCAGAGCAGATCCAGACTGAACACAGTCAGACCTGATCAACCACACAGGTCTGTCTGAGGACTCCTTTCTCTGTCCTACAGAAACAGCAAAGCCACAGTCCAGCTCTCTACAGACAACAGCTGCTGTCTTCAGGGTCCAGACAGAGTACCTCACTGGTCTCCAGTCTCCCTGATGTTTCAGCTCTGGTGTTCCTGCACAGCGACTGGCTCCTCCCACCAACCTGACATCATCAGGCTCTGAACAGAAACCAGAGAGTCATCAGTAAAGAAGTGGATTCAAGAGATTAAACTAAGCCTTGACTGCTGATTCTGCTTCTGTGATTCTTTCCTTCTCTTTTCTTTCTCTCTTTACCTGTTGAGGTGTGATTTCCTTCAGCCTGGAGTCCTGTGATTGGAGCACAGCCGTGGACAGAAAAAACACTTTGTCAGCCCAGAAACATCTCAGTGAACTCCCTCTGGAGTCATTTTACCAGTTTACTGTAGGTGAGATGAACATGTGAATACACAGAACAGCAGCCAGCAGACTGGTTTATATAGAGTTAAAGTTCAGCATTCAGTGAAGTATGCTCGCTCAGCTTCACTTTATTCATAGTGCAACATCACAAACTGAGTCTCTGCACACTTTCAGATTAAATTCCACAGATGGAAATGTTTCTACAGCAACAAGAATCAGGTCCTGTCACCTGACTCCCAGCTGAAGAAACGACGTGTTCACACCTAAAGGTCCGGGTCCTGAATCCAACCAATGTGAAGATGCTCAGTTCTCCAGCTGGTCCAGTTTGTGTTCACAAAGGCAAAACTCAAACTGTCCAGAAATCGTCAACAGAAGCAGGTGGTGGAAACGCTTTTCCATTATTGGTCATCCAGTCGGCGGGTAAAAAAAACAAACCCCTCCAAAGATTGCTGTAGATTTGCAGAATTGAATAATTACCAAGAATTAAACGACGGTATCATTACAGTATTTTCATTTACAGTACTTCCATTTACAGGATACTGAGTTTGCATGCCTCTTTATTCCCTTTGAAACAATAGAAGCAATAAAAACACTGTATAGCCACCGTCTCATTGTCTTATGGTGCAGCCTGTACAGGAACATAACCCTTCTTATCTTCATGGATCCATACTTAGCTTTTAGATGTTCAGATGGGAAAAGATAAAGTCATCAAACCATTTTTAGATTTCTTATTTTACCACTCTGTCACAAACTGTCTGTGACTCACAGCACTAGTGCAGGTCTGTTTGATTACGATCACGGCGTACGCTGGTGTCGCTTCAGCCGTGCGGAGCCCATTCACGCCGCAGGCTGACGTTATCAGTTCTACATGTTATCAGTCGTTTTTCACTACGTGACTAAATTGATGTTTCAGCGTGAGAGCGTGTGAAAGTGTCAACAGCGTGAGTCTCACGGTCAATCTGTGAGAGTTAGCAGCTCTGACTGGATGATGTTTTTATGCTCGGTCCTGATTTGCTGCCGAGTCTCTTTCACACTTTGCAGCTAATAAACAAAGCAAATAGAGCACAGATTAAAAAAGAAATTATTGGTATTTATCACTGATAATATTTAGTCAGCGTTCATCTCACTTTGATTTGTCCAGAAACTAAAGTGAAGTCCACGTGTCCTTCATGGTGGGACAGTGTCAGACTTCTTGAGTTTCATGTTTAAATATCAAGTTTACAGTTTAAGAGCTCGATGTGCAGCCGTCACATATAAGCAGGAGACAATCAGAGCGCGTCCAACAACGATTGTCAGCCAGCATCCCTCTCTCGCATTCTTTGCAGCAGCAGAGTTGATTTTTGCTGTAAAATGGTTTTCTGCCATTGGTCCATTTTGTGCAGAAGAAGAGTCACATGACGCGTCAGAATTTAATGGGAACGAGCACAGAGCCTGATGAAGGTAACAAAGATGATCGCTGTGGTGAAACCCGTTATCTCTGACTGCAGTTTAAACCCTTTCACATGACACCTCTTCCTTTCAGCCTGCAGCTGAGAGAGCGTCTGTATTCCCTGTTTATTTCTGTTTGTTCATATTAAATACGTTCCTGGGAACTTTTTGCAAGCACAGGTTTCTCGTTTGTAACTGTTGTCGTTAATTTGCATCATACTTGAATTTAAATCTTTTCTATGAACAATCTCCACTTAATTTAACGTCAGCTTGAAAGCAAATGGAAACACAAATAATCTTTTAAATTTTCTTATTGTAAATAAATTCAGCCGTCAGTTTAAGGTTTCGTCGAGCTGAAGCCAAGAAAGCCTGGATGTGTCCGACCTGCTTCGTAGTACAGCCCTCTGAACACCTGATACACCTGGACACAACTGAACATCTGAGGCTCATGTTTAGCAGCACAAACAGTTTTAGCAGAAAAAGAAGAAGAACAGAAAGGATCGTGCTCCAGCAGCTTCACCGCTTGGACTCCTACTAACTGACTGTTTAAAGTCCTACCTGAGCTCCACAGCAGCAGCAGCACCAACAGGTGATCCATGTCCAGGTAGACCGTCTCTCTGGCCGTCCGCCTGCTCTCTGCTCTGATCATCATGTGCTGTCCTCAGTGTATATCTGCGTACAGGAAGAGGTGGAGCTTTACTGGAACACAGCTCATTCAGCTGTCTTTAGTTTCACAGTGAAGAGTCCTCGTCTGAGTCTCTGACACAGGATCAGGGTTTTCTGTCGCCCATGTTTCCAGTTTGACCGGTGGACCGGACAGTGGTCACACTGGAGTCCAGACTGAGCCCAGTTCTCCCTTTGCACTGTGTGCTTCACGTCAAACTGTCGACTTCGTGTCAGTTAAACTTCAACATGTTGCTGTAAAAGGTGGATTAAAGGAAATGTTGATGTTGTTTCCTGTTTTATTTTGAAATGTCTCTGCTGTCTGTCTTTATTTCCTGTCTGTGTCTTCCCTGTGATTACCTGATGTGTCTCACCTGTGTTTAATCACCCTGCCACCTTGTGTGTGTGTACAGGTCTCTGTTGTTGGTCCAGTTCTTGGTTGTCTCTCCGTTTGGAGACCCTGGGCCTGTTTTTTGGGGATTATTGCATCTGGATTCATCCGGACTTCATTCCTGCCGGCCTCTTCCTCTCAACATGTTTGTGTTTCGGACTCCGCTCCTGGTTTTCCTCTCGCCTGCCTGCCTCATCATCATTGGAAGTTTGTGTTCACCTTGTTTTGACTTAATAAATCATGTTACAGTGAGCTGAGAGTCTGAGCCTGGCTCCTATCCTTTTTACCTGCTGCCACGTTTGACACCACCTGACCTCTGCTCCACCAGGTTCCTCTCTGACGGCAGAACCCGGGGCTTCAAACTGGTTTATACTGGTTGGAAACTGGGTTTAATCTGGTTTTGAAATGGTGTTAAACTGGGTGCACATTTTTTATTTTGGTAAATAAAGTTTTGTCCTTCAGGGACGATGTCGACACTCTGTGGTCTGTAGTTAACCTCTCTGAACTGATGAACTGATTACTGACTACAGGCCGGTGTTACCATGGCAACCAGAGCAGGCTGAGGCGTCGCTATCAGATTAAAGCTGTCAGCGTCTTCTTCTTCTTCTTCCTGCTAGATGTGTCTGATCCCACTTCCTGTGTGTTGCTATGGCGATCCAAACAGCACGTGAGCGTCTCAGTGTGCTTGTTTCTCCTTCCTGGTTCAGCTTCCTGTTATTTCTTAGTTCTGATGATTTAGTGAAGTTTTCACATTCGAGGAGGAAAACTGACTCTGAGGAAACGTTTGTTGTTTCCTCCTGTGGGAGCAGTGATGGAAGAAGTACTCACAGCTTTTACTGCAGTAAGAGTACTAATACCACAGTGTACAAATACTCTGCTGCAAGTAAAAGGACTCATTCTGCAGAATAAAATCTATTGTAGGATTCTGATTATTGCTGCGTTCATGTGTTCATCAGGTTCATGTTGCAGCTGGTAAAGGTGCAGCTCATTTTAATGACTTCATCTCCTGCTGGCTGCTTTAACCTGTAATAATACATCATCATTTATTAGCTGCTGATATTTTGTATCTGTAAAGTAACTGGTAACTCCAGCGCTCAGATAAATGGACTGCAGTAGAAGCAGGAAGTAAAGTAGAATCAGCTGAAAGTGGACTTTAATCCAGAACTTGAACATAATGAGCAGCTGGTTGGTTTGAAATCTGCAGACGTTCATATAATGTCCATCCCTGTTAAAGCTGAAGGGAAATAAAAGTCCTGTCTAATAAAAGCTGGAAGAAAAACAATCTTCTGGACTAAATAGAAAACAGGAGGAAATCTCTGGATCTCTGGCTGGAAGAGACGTTTCTGTTTGTGCTGGAAGCTCGCTGATTAAATCTGAGGGCGTATTAATCACAATCAGCTTTACTGACGTGTTCGCAGACGAGGAGTTTGACCTTTTGCTGCCGTCAGTGCGCTGCAAAAACTCAAAATCTCTATTTTTCTCATTTCTGGTCAAAATCTGTCATCACACTCACACTAAAGAGCAAGTGAGATAAAGGAGCTTGTTTTTAGACAGCGCATCTTAAATATCTTGAAACCATCTTGTTTTGAGTCATATCTCAGATGAAACAAGCTTTTTTGACATGTCAGAAGGTTTTTAAGCTGCTGTGTTATTTGTAAAAGATGAATCATCTTGTTTGAAGAAATAGACTTACCAAATGTGCTTTATTGAAAACTGCAGGTCAACATGCCCAACTCACATGCAGAGTACTATTTCTATTATAGTGGCTATTTGTCCTCTCACCATGTGCAGTGACAACCTGGACACCGTCACACAGCTCAGTTAAGTCACGGTTAATCCTCTCAAATATCTCAGCGGTACCACAATGGGAAAGATCTTTTGATTTTACCATGGCAAGCAGACAAAGACTCCCTCTGCGTGTCTGTGGCCTCTTATCAATCATTGCACTTATTCTTGGATGTGCCAGCAGCTGCTCCAAACTGTTCACCGACGGTATATAATGAAAATAACGGTCCTTAATGGTAAGAACTCTGGAGTTTTCCACATAACATACTGTTTGTTTTGCCACAACAATCTCTGGTTCAACTGGTTCTAGCAGTTCTTTGATGGTCTTATTCTGCAAATGGGTGGAAGCAGTTTGACAGAAAGGCTCAACAGACTGGTCAAATATCCCCATCGCATCAGTCTTTAGTTGATCCAGGTCCCCAGAATGTCTCTCAATCATGTCGCTCATTTGCTGTTTGAGGTGCTCCGATCATGCGGCCTGATGTTGCTGGACTCCACTCAGCATTTGGTTAACAGCTCTCTGGGGACTAGAAAACAAAGAAACATTATAAAATTCATATAAAAATGCAGTCAACATGCAAACTCACAGACACTTACTTTAAAAAGTAACCCTTCAGTTCCATATTGTTAGTGACATGCAATGATCAAAACTACCATGAAATAATAAGACCTTGTTTACACTTGGTCTTAAAATGCGTTTTGAGCAATAGGATCACAAGTGGACAGTGCTAAATAAAAGTGTAAGTGCTGGGTGTATTATGTGGTCTCTGTTCTTCAACAGATATAGTGGATGGCCAGATTTTGTTTCCATCTGCATATCTAGCGGGGAAGTGAGATCCGATCACAAGTGGTCCCTGAAGAAGCTCGTGGAGACGCACTCTAATGTCAGGTGTTTCTCTGACTTACCTTTAGCTGCCCCCCTGAGCTCGGATCAACCAAGATGCCAGGTCTGAACAGTGGCTAAGTCATTCTACAGTTTAAGCTTATTGCTTTTAAGCTTGCTGATAAAAATGAAATATAATTCAAAGGAAAATCAACGGCGTAAATGAGCTGTGTCAGTCGACGGCTTTCTCTGGCTTGAAGAAGAAATGCAGTTGCCTGTTTAGAAAGGTCAACATTCATGCGACCCTCTGCTTCGTGAAATCCACTCTGAAAGAGATTATAACAAACATATCTATTAAAACAGGGGAAATATCGGCGTTTGTAGGTAGCACCAGCAGACAAGCTGACAACTACCTGGCTAAGCTAGCTAGCTAGATTTCTTCCTATAAATATATATATATGGAATTAATGGTAGGTAGATCTCTACATTTAGTCCTTATTTCGTTTGGTTACATATTTTAAACTCATTGTAGTTTTTCTGTGTAAATATTTAGTAAACTTTGTGTAAATCTGTATTTTAATTGTTTTTCAACTTGTGGTTGAAACATTGTGTTTATTTGTGTTGTACAGGACTCCCTTGTAAAAGAGACTCAATGGGACATTTCCTGTTTAAATAAAGGTTTATATAAAAAGGTACAAGATGGGTGTTTTACTGATTGATGTCTTTACTTTGAGGATGTAAAATAACAACAAAAACAACAACTAATAAAAAGAAACAGTACTACAAAAATGGCCAATAAATGAACATTACTAAAGGCCTTTGAACTGAACTTGTCCTCCAATAAGCTATAAGGAGACAACTTCCTGTCACACACTGTCATGAAGACATGTCTCACCTGCCAGGTACAGCTTCGTGATGATAAGCTAATAATCCACATATTACAGCCTCTATGCTTGATTCAACCTGTTGAAGGATAACCTGTCAGTTTTCATTGGTTGTTTACAACATTATTTCTTTCAATGAAGTCTGGTAACTGAATTACATAACTAACAAACAAAAGTAATAATCAAATAACGTTAAGTGAATTAATTGAGCAGTTACTGCATATAAAATGAAGCATTAGACATCAGATCAGAAGCGGAACCATTAACCAGCCGATTTAAATCTCAGCAGGCTAAGTTACTTGTATTTGTGTTACTGGCTCCATTACTCGTTACTGACAAAAGTAGTGGAATTACAGTAACGCATTACTTTCAACACTGATTATTTTCTCTTAAAATTACAACCTGAGCTGTCATTTTAACGGAAACGGTGTATTTTGCTAAAGGATAGAGCAGAATATGAAACGATAGACTTTTTATTTCGTCCACATGGCACAGCCCTAGTTGTAAACAAATGCCTTTCATCTGATGTGTGCCAAATCAAGAATGAAATCAATGTGCAGCAGTTTGTAGCCTACAAATAGAGAGTCTGTAGGCTTACTATCCGTGTTGTAGCCATTACAGAAGCACATTCACTTTCAGATTTGTTAATATTATAATGTTATTTTTTCCATCTATGTTGATTATGAAAAGTGAGCAGCATGAGTAAGACAGGATGCGCGATATATCGGGAGACATGGAGTGGCTCCGACATGATTAAACCACTTCATTACGTTCTGTTTTGTAGAAAAGCCTTTCTTTAAAGTCAATTTCGTTTTGGATAAATTGTATCTTAATTTTAATCAATTTTTCATCAACCACTTGCCTTGATTTAATAAATAAGAAGCAAATATAGCAGACAATATAATCACGAGGCACATCTCATCAGAAATTACCGGAAACTCAGCATCTGCCTCGCAGACATCAGAAATATATCTCGGCTATAGAAAGCTTGAAATGTCTTTAAAGGAAAAGAAATAGGCTGTCTCTGATTATGGAATCCATTCTGTGCAACTTTGCAGCCACACTGACCCAAAAAACACTAGTTTATTAATAAAAATATACACGCGTGTCACCGGATTTACAAATGCACATCTTGCTTGTTGCAGGCACACATATTATGTCCAAATAACGATATATTATGTTGGAATAACATTAGAAATAATCTAAAATAAATCTTTAAGAATATTTGATTGAATGCTGAATGTTGTGCTTGTTCAGTTTGATAAAATTAATACTTTAATTGTGATCATTAAAATAACTGAATCTTAAATATTGAGTGGCTAATTCTATATAATTGCGCAGCTCCCCCTGTCAGTGATGTGGCCCCCCCTCAGCACCTGTGGTAAAAACATTTCTGCTCGGGTTTAAATCGGGCTCGGGCTCATAATTACAGTTAATGTGTCGGGCCGGGCTCGGACACAACGGTGCACGGGCTCGGGTAGGGTCGGGCTTGATGTTTTTGGGCCCGATCTAAGCTCTAGTAACGTCTATATGATGAGCTATCTCCATTTCTATACTAGCTACCTAATCTGAATGTGTCAACTTCTAATAGTCTCGTGTTTTCATAGCTGCAAACATCCCAGAGACAACGATGAAAAGCGGTCCGGCGCGCCTGTCATGGTGCGTCGGAGGAGCTCAGTTTCTCAGTGAAGTGGCCTAAACTAAGCACCTGTTGAAGTTGGCAGCAGCTCGTTGAGCTGACAGCACAGTGTTCTTGGAACAGGCGTG